GGCTTGCTTTGTGGCCTAACATATGGTCTGTCTTGGAGAATGTTCCATGGGCACTAGAAAAAGATGTATGTTTTGCTGTTGTTAGGTTAAATGCTCTGTAGATGTCTATAAGGTCAAGTTGGTGCATTGTATTGTTTAGTTCTTCTGTGTTTTTGTTGAGTTTCTTTCCAGTTGTTCTACCTGTGGTTGAAAGTGGTGTATTAAAGTCTCCTACTATGACTGTGGAGTCATCTATTTGGTTTTTCAGTTCTGGTAGATAGAGTCTGGTTTATGTGTTTTGGGGTCTTTCATTGGGTGCATAGATATTTATTATTGTTGTATCTTCTGGTTCAATCCATCCTTTATTCATTATATAATGTCCTTCCTTGTCTCTTACGATGTTTTTTGTCTTAAAGTTAGTTTTATCAGAAATTAATACTGTCACTCCTGCTTTTGTATGGTTGCCATTTACTTGATATATCTTTTTCCAACCTTTGGTTTTTAGTCTATTTGTGTCTTTCTACAGTCTGTCTCTTACAGACAGCATATTGATGGGTTTTGTTTTCTTACCCAGTCTGCAACTGTCCATCTCTGGAGTGATGCATTCAATCTATTGACATTCAGTATAATTATCACCTAGTATGAATTTGTTGCTGTCATTTTGTTATGTGCTTTTTCGTGGTGTTGCTGATTTCTTTGTTCCATATAGTTTTCTGTGTTGAGCTTGGGTTTTTTTTTTTTTTTTTTTTTTAATGAATTCTGTTATCACTTCCTTTGTTGCTATTGTTTTCGTGTTTGCTAAATATTTGTGCTGGTCCTTTTTTTTATTTTGATGTGAAGATTTATCATTTTTCTTTGAGGTTACCCTGTGATTTATAATTTTCTTCCCAAGTTTAGAACAGTCTGTTCTATCTTGCAATTGTCTTTACTTCTTCACCATTTAGAAATTCTGTAACTACACTATTTTCTCCTACTTTTTGGTTTGTAGTTGTCCTCATTCGTCAATTGATGTCTCTGGTTCCCTGTTTACAATCTTATAGGGATATTTACTTTGGATACTTCCATAACTGGGTTGGTTTCTGCATTATGTCTTCATGTGTGTTAATGGTTGCTTGTTATTTTCTGTTGTTGGTTCTCTGTCTAAAGGGTGCCCTTTAGTATCTTCTGTAGGGCTGTTCTAATTTTAACAAAGTCCCTTAATTTCTGCTTATCTGGAAATCTCCTAATTTCACCATCATATTTGAGGGACTATTTTGCTGGGTATATAATTCTTGACTGAAATTTTTTTTTTTCTTTCAGGATTTTATGTATACCATCCCATTATCTTCTTGCCTGCTGGTTTCTGCTGAGAAATCTGAGCTTACTTTTATTGTTTGCCCCTTGTACGTAAATTTTCATTTTTTTCCATGCTGCTTTCAGGATTCTTTCTTTGTCTTTGGTTTGGTGAGTTTGTTGATGATATGTCTTGGTAAATTTCTTTTGAAGTCTATCCTGTTTGGTGTTTGTTAGACTTCTCATCTTTCATCATGCCTGGGAAATTCTCTTCCAACAAAGCTTTGACTATTTTCTCTTTGGTTTATTTGTCTCTTCCTGTTCTGGAATTCTGATTACATGTAGGTTATTCCTTTTGATGGTATCCCACATGAATCTTAGGCTTTCTTCATTTTGTTTTGATCTTTTTTCTGATTGATCCCTTTCCAAAGAAGTATTGAAGTATTTGTCTTCAGTCTCACTAGTTCTGTCTTCCCATTGATTCATATCTACTCATTTGCCTGTTCAATGTGTTATCTATTTCTGTAAATTTAGTATTAATCTTCTGGATTTCTATCTGTAGATTTTGTATCATTTCTAATTTTTCATTTGTCATTTTGTTCTTGTATTTTCTTCTTAAATGTTCTTAAATTGTTCTTGGGTTTTATTCTGCATTTTCCTTAATTTTGTCAGTGTTTTCCTTAATCTATCTTTCAATCCATTGAAGATGCCTAAATATAATTCTTCTGAATTCCTTATTGGGGAGTTCCAATGCTGCTGCTTCCTCAGGGATGTGTTCTAGGTCTCTAATCTGGTCCCTTGTTTCTCCTGCTTTATCTTCTTTTTATGCACAGTGCTCTGTTTTCTGTGAGACATTGTGATGTTTTTGTGTTTATATTTAATTGGTGATTGTATGTTGGAGTGACTTGCCCACGATTTTCATTTTCTTTGTTTTGTTTGGATGTTATCTATGTAAGCAGGGTACTGTGCTCCTCTATTAGTTAACTAGCAGCACTTATACATTCACCACCTGTCTCCTTTCCCATTGTCAGCTTCCCCTATGTCCCTGCTATCCTGGGCAAATGGAACCTATTCTTAGGCCCCTGGAATCCAAATGAGAATACTGTCATTTTAAATATCCAAAATGGTCAGTGCTTATAAACAGTCAAAATGGTTGCACCCTCTGGACAGCCAAAATTCTACAGCTCAGGCTTCTCCTTCCTTGCTGTTTCCCTTCCTGGTCATCAGCCACTAGCGCAGTTGTTCCTCCAGCCCTTGGCAACTAGGGCTGATCAATTCTCAGGTCCCAACACCACTTGGAAATATTCAGACTGTTGATACCCTCAGAGTAGCTGACAGTCCACAGTTCCATGCATCTCCATACTCATTCTTTTCATTCTGTTTTTTCCACTAGTTGGTGCCTAATCCACTCCTGTACACCTCCTTTCAGAGCTCAGTGCTCCAGGATTATCTTCTGTATCTCTATCAATTGATTTCTCTTTTCTTTGTTGAAGAAGGTCTGTGTAGCTTGTCTGCCTATTCTGCCATCTTACCTGAAGTCCAAGTTCTATGCTTTTGAAGAAATCAGGGTGAGAATAATGTACAGAGGGAACATTAGGTCAGATAGGATGTATTGTGAAGGCTTTTTTGAGGAAAGTGATGTCCAAGAGTGAGAAGGAGGTAGCTGCTGGCAAGGCAAGATATGCAGAAAAATAGTATCAGGCAGTAACTGAAATGAGGAGATACTAAGTGTGTTTGCATTTCTGAAAGACTGTCACTATATTTGAAGCAGGGAGGACATGGCACAAAGGAAGTTTGTGTAGCAGCATGGGGCTTAGCCAGAAGTGCTTTACAGACTATGCTAAGCAGTTGTGTTGTATGCTAGCATGATAGCAAGCTACTAAAAGATTGACACAGTGACTGCAGCATGGGCAAAAGCATAGCAAGGATTGTGAGGATCGTGCAGGAACAGGCAGTTTCATTCTGTTGTACATAGGGTTGCTGAGTCAGAGCCAATTCGATGGTACCTAACAACAACAAAGGTTTTTAAGCAAGGTAGTGATGTGGTGCTATTTATCTTCTTTTGAGTGGTCTCTGTCTGCTGTGAGAACAAGGCATTGGCCATGACCACATGGGAAGCCAAGAGACCAGGTAGGAGTACTATATAAAGCCTGGCAAGAGATGGTAGTGGCTTGGCCTAGGGTTACTGTGGAAATAGAGAATGACGAATGGATTCAAAATAAATTTTGGAGGCAGAATTGACAGGATTGGTGGTGGATTGAAAACAGGAGATGAGAAGGAATTGGAATCAATAACAACTCCCACATTTCTGCTCTGAGTAGTGGAGAGTAGTATGGTGATACTATTTACCCAGAAGGAGAATCAAATGGAGAAATAAGGAGAGGTGAAAATGGAATGCTTAATTTTGTGCTGAGGAGTGTTGGTGGTGTGATGGCTGTGGCATTTGGCTGTTAACCAGAAGGTTGGCACTTCAAACCACCAACTGCTCCATGGAAGAAAGATGAGGCAGTCTGCTTTGGTAAAGATTTACAGCCTTGGAAACCCAGTGGAGGTCGCTATGAGTCAGAATCAACACAATGAGGTCTTTTTTTTTGCTTTGTAAGGTTGCATTTCTTGTGAGACATCAGGAGACATGCCAGGAGGGCCACTGAATATCCACATATGGAGCTCACAGAAGTTCAGATTTGGCAATAAAATGGGAATAGGTTAGAATTAAGTCCACATCACTTCAGTTGAACAGACTACTACACAGTGAGGCACTGTAATAGGCTCTGAGGATTAAGACTTATATAAAGGCACTTTGATGTTAGGAACAATATGCTATACTTTTTTTATCTCAAGAACCGGTGTAGTACATGGCACAGAGTAAGCATACAGCACAAAAACATTGAATGAACAAATGATCTAGAGATAAGGGAAAACAGAGCATTTGATTTATAGAACTGAAAAAAAAAAACAAAAAAACCACTGCCATCAAGTCAATTCCAACTCATAGTGGCCCCAATTGGGTTTCCAAGGCTGTAGTATTGCCTCATCTTCCTCCTGAGAACAGCTGCTGGGTTTATACCACTGATTTTCTGGTTATCAGCCACATGCTTCAACCCACCATGCCACCAGAGCTACTTATAGAACTAATTTTCCATTTGTAGTCTTGCTTTTTATAAGAAATCAATTACTACTATAAAATTTATTCTATACTGTCAAGTAGTACATATCCCCCTGAGGGAGCTTTCTGTGTAGTGGGCAACACATCAAATAGTCTAAATTACACTCATTCTGTAGTGTAGACCTAAGGAGCTCTGGTGGTGCAGTGGTTAAAGCATTCAGCTGCTAACCGAAAAGGCTGATGGTTCAAACCCAGCATCTGCTCCATATGAGAAGGATGAGGCAGTCTGCTTCTGTAAAGATTTACAGCCTTCAAAACCTTGTGGGGCAGTTCTACTCTGTCCTATAGAGTCACTATGAATGAGAATCGACTTAATTGGTTATGAGTTATAGTCTCAATCTATTTCATCTCTAATATACTCAATATGGAGTATTTTTACCTCTTAAATTCCAAAAATATTTTAAAATATACTTAAAATTTTTCTTGTTAGAAAAAAAATGTTCCTTTCCTTCACGTTATTTTTTATTGCCTAAAAGTAGTTACCCTTATTCTTATATCTATGAATCCATAGATATTAAATTTAAATTAAAACAAATTTGAAATTCATATATTTAATATATCTCTTTATCCCGGTTTATCATAGGGATGACAGTAAGTGCTAATAAAGATGGCTTGGGGATGATTGTTCGAAGCATTATTCATGGTGGTGCCATCAGTCGAGATGGCCGGATTGCTGTTGGGGACTGCATTTTGTCCATTAATGAAGAATCTACCATCAGTTTAACCAATGCCCAGGCACGAGCAATGTTGAGAAGACATTCACTTATTGGGCCTGACATAAAGTAGGTATCATTTGGATCCCAGTTTGTTTGGAAAACGCAGGAATTTCCATTCATTTATCACATTTTTTTTTCAGTATATGCTTCTGTTGAAATGAGAAATTATCACCTGCTCATTTAACATAAATGACTTAAGAATTTGATTTTCTGAATGGTTCTTGATTGCAGTGCTTCTCTAAGACTATGTTGTTGTTGTTGTTGTTGTTATGTGCCGTCGAGTCGGCCCCGACTCATAGCAGTGTTAAAAGTACGGCTTTGTGTTTTTAATTGTACTTTTCCACTGACTTCTGCGAAAACTCTTCCTGTCAACCTTTGTATTATAGACATTGCCACTGGAAAAAGTGGTGGTGTATTTGGTACTATCAGTGGACCAAAAGGTAAGCCAATGGTAGCAAGAAATACTACTAAACTTTGATAAATATTCCATGTGGCTTGTTTTTCCCAGAGTTTCTGGGGTTTCCATAGCTACGCTGGAGCCAGATATTAGGCCTCAGATATCCATGGAGCAAGAGGGTCCACTGGGGATTCCTGGATTGGCCTCACTACGAGGAGTTATACACTACTCGATTTACCTCTATGGCTAGCTCTTTGAGAGGCAGACATGGAAAAGACCCTATAGAATAGTTCCAGGCTGACCCATAACTTGCCCTTTCTCAAACTAACTCATGCTCCAGGGGGATTCACTAGTATTTTGATATAGACAGATTGTAGCTCACATGAAATATTTTGTCAGGAAGTTTTTAAAAGTGTCCCATAATCCTATAATGTACTAAAAGCATTTTATATATGTAGTTTGGTTATTAGGTTGCAAAACATTCCTTAAGCCAAAATGAAAATCATTTCATGACTTTATTTTCATATTTCATCAATGCAGTAGCTTGGCTTTTTTCTTTAGCATTAATCTTTCAAATATTTGCATTTAATATATGTAAGGGACAGAATAGTAGAATAAGAGTACAGGAAAAGATTGTTTACCTTAAATTGATGTCATGATTATTAGATAATGGGATTTTTTTTTATTAATATTATTTTGCTAACTGCATTACTGGTTATTTTGCAAAGTATGTATTGATAGAGCTGTGGTAAGAAAACTATATTTACAACTGATTTTCATTACGCCTTCAATAAAAAGCAGAAAATATGTATCATAAGTGTTTGGAGTGGATTCTGCTTCTTACACAAAAGGCGTATATTTAAGCAGAAACTTCACTAATGGGCTTTCATATTTTTTGCATGCCTTTTCAACTTTTACTTTAAAATTCATCAAATCATCAGATTATGTGACTGTTCCTTAATTGTTTTAATAATACAAGTACAAGTGATCATCATTAAAAACATCAATGCCTCTACACTAGAGAAACTTGCTTCACCACTTGGGGGCTAATGTTTATTCTTTCTGCTTAAAACATGAGTGATATAGATCCACATGTAGACTATTTCTTGCAAGGATTTTAACTTACATAGTTTAGATTTAGTATAAAATGCAGATGGCCTAATACTTAATCATTTGATTTATTGTACAATAAAATGTGTGCTATGCTATGTGCACTGATGTAGGCCCCTTGCCTACTTTTTGGAACTCTGATTGCCAGAATTTTTGCTTAGTGTCAGCCTAACCCCTCAGTTGTAATGTACTATAGAATTTAAAATATGACCAAACTATCAGACCATTGTAACAACAATTTAGCATAAGTTAAATATCTAGCCAACTCCAAAAATTCATCAGATACATTTTATTCCCACTATCAAGCTCAAAAGGAGCTCTGCTGTTGCTGTGGTTAAGGCATTGGGCTGCTAACCAAAAGGTCAGAGGTTTGAACCCACCAGCCACTCCATGGGAAAGAAACAGATGAGGCAGACTGCTTCTGTAAAGATTTACAGTCTTGGAAACCCTACGTGGGTTGCTATGAGTCAGAATTGACTTGATAGTAGTAGGTTTGGTTTGGGTTTTTGTCAAGCATAAAAGATATTCCCTCTCCCCACTTTTTTTGCCCTGTCCTCAGACTCAGTACCAGAATTTATCAATTTCACGTGGGAGGAGGCTTTATTAGGACAATGAAGGATATCTAGAGAGGTATTCTAATAAGTAATTGCTTTAGGATCTCGGGAGGCAAAATGTATTGTAGAATCTTACGTTTGAAAGATAAGAAAGAAAAATCTGCAACCTTTCCTCTCCTGAAAACCAATCAATCATTCAGTCAGTCTCTCTATTTCTCACATGCACACATACACCCACATAAAAAAACAAAAACTTACACACTCACAGAACACATTGATTTCTACTAATGCTGTCATTCAGTATGTTTATAGAGTTTGACTCATTGGGTAGAAGAATGAGTAAAAAGAAGCTGACATCATTTTTATATAATCCTATTTGAGAAAAATTGTGTTAAATGACAAAATGAAAGTAGTCTGAGCAGCGTTTTCCATGCAGTTTACATGAAGTGTTTTTGGCTCTGTCCCCTCTATCACTTGCTTCTTGTGAGCCAAAAAGTTTAGAATTACCTTGAAAGCTGTGAGCTATCCCCCCAACAAAAAAGTCTGGTCCTTCCCTTATTCTGAGTGGAACTATAACATTGCCTCTGGCCAATGAAGCTTTGCAATCATTGCTTGGATCCCAGCTCCATCCCCATCTCTTTCTTTTATTACCTATTATGAACCTAGCTTAATCCAGGCCAAGGGTAGAGAAGTGCATTATAGGGACTTAAACTAAAATATGTTAAATGGTTCAGTTGCATAACTGATTGACTTTAGGAGAAGCATTACTTATTGAGACAATGCACTGGATTTTTATTTTTTTTTCCTCCGTTTATGATAGCTTGCTAGCAACTTTGTGTGTATGCTTTCATGCTTGCCTGGGTGGATAATTTGAGTTTCAAGAGTTCAAGAATAGCCAGTTTAAGTTCCAGGTTTCATTATTTTCTATGGAAAACCAGATGTGAAGCCTCACTAGAATGCATTCTGTTTTACTTCTCACTCCACCTTGCCAGGAGCTCTTATATTTCTGTAATAATAGCCAGGGTTTTGTGCTTAGCAGCAGCTGCTTCTAACATCTGCCAGATAATTACTGAGCTGAATCAGAATTCACCTGCTTTAACCCAAAGTGTGGGATGAATTCCTGATCAAGGAATAAAAGATTGATTGCAGTTACATTTTTCCATGCTTGTTAATAATCACTGCTATATACACCAGTAAAGAGCAGATGCTTTTCTGGGGGAGGTGTAGATGGGAGGGAGGTGGAAAGGAGAAAAAAAACAACCAGGAGCATCCACTTTTAGCTACATATGTATGCATCGCACATTCAGCACAAGACATTGACATTTGTTAACACCATTGTAAAAAGATGCCACAGCGTATGCTTCACATTCTAGATTTTCCGCAGCACCTGCTGACGATCGAGCCCCTTTTTGTGTGTGAGTATTGGTGATTCAAAAGCTCATTATGGCTGTATGTTACAACTTGTCTGTGAAAACCATTTCCTGCTTTTGTAACATCCCAGTGGAAGCATGGATCCAGATATAGATGCACTGTATACATTTTGGCTTTTCTCTGCATTTACATAAGAACATAAATTCCACCAGAGCTGGGAGATTGTTACATTTTCACATTGTACTGATGATTGTGAACTCAATTGAAAACTGTATTTTCCACCTACTAAGCTTTAAAGTGCCTTTGTAATGGAAAGATCCTGTCTGCATGTGCAGGCGCGGCCTCTGGATTAATATCCGTATAGCATTTCAGCATCACTAATGGTTTTCTTTTTTCTTCCACTCCATGTGGGACCAAAGGTTAGTTTACTTTTCAGAATTTTTAATACAGCTCTCACCTAAGCCATTCTCCGTGTGTTTACACATCCGTAATGCAATTTGGGCGTTCTTTGTTGGTGATTTGGAGGTTTTGTGTGGCTGTGTTAGAATTGCTCTGCATGTACTAATGCATTGTGGGATGATTGTCCTGTGGCCTTGCTGTCTGTATGGCTAAATATTTATGAAAACTGCCTTTCTTGCTCTTTCTCATCCCTACCTGAAGTAACAGAAAAATGTTTGTACTGTACTTCCCCCCTTTTGGTAAAAAGACAAACAGCTTTGAACAAATACAGGGGGAAGCTCATTTCAACACTGGTGGGGATAGAAAGATCTTTTCTTTCTCAGATCAGTTTAAGAACTAAATGCATTGTTCTGATTATTTTTTTCAGTATGCTGAAATAATACTAGCTCCTCGCCTCCTTTGCCTTTTCCTAGCTTTTTTTTTGTAAGGTTTTGCTTGTTTTAAGTTGATAACCTTTACTAAATCTTCAGAAATACTGTCAGTTTACTTGAATAGGCATTTCAGATGTTAAGGTTTAAGCTTAACTTTTATTTTTCTTTGTGTAAAATATAATCTTCTTTCCTGACACAATATACTCAATTTTACTCATATTTTTGGATGCATAAAAGGCATATATATGATGTAATATATTTTTGTAACAGCTTAGTTTCATTTTTTGATGCTTGTGCTAAACAAGTCCATGAGCTTTCCAAAGGGTTCTTGTATTTGGCCGTGTGGCCAGGTGTGGCCAGCAGTGCCAGGGGCCTGGCAAAGTGCCTCCTTCCACTTGTATCGTGCTTCTCAGCTGGCAGTAGCCTCATGAGAAGGGGCATCTTTTGTGATTGAGCATGTGTGTAGATTCAGTGGTGGTCATTTGCTGTCACTTCACCTCCTGGTGAGCCACAGGATCATGTCTTCTCACTCCATACTAAAGTGACCTCATGGAGTGAAGGCTTTTGATCAAATTACAGATAATATACTGAAATTATATGTTACCCTAACACACACTCAATAAATTGTACCATTGGTACAATATTTATTTTATGGTAGCATGAAAGAATTCCTTTAGCTCTGTGCTCCATTGCTAAGGTTTTATATACTTATTGTCTTAATGGATAAGCTATGGATAGATGGAAATCTTCATGATTTCTATATTGTATATTTTTTAATACAGACTTATTTTATAATTAAACATACTTAACTGACTTCAAATACAGTACTTCTTTTACCTTACTTTCATTTGATAGTGTTCTAGTCAACTTGAAAAAGTACATAAACTATATTCATAGTTTGATAGAATAGCAGTGAATTTCTATATTTTAAAACGTCAGTTTCTGAATTTTACAGCTGACATCAGCATTCAGTCTAGTCCTTACCACAATGGACATTCAGCCAGTACTTGTTGAAGTAGTAAATGGCCATTCAGGTATAAACAGCATGCTCCCCACCCCACCCCCCGGAAACCAGAGTGAATTTATAAGAAACTGGTGCAGATTGGTAAGACAAATTTTCCATAAATTTATAATGGTTACATTTCAGACTTGAGAGTTCATAACTTAATAGAACTATTGTATATTTATCAGGAATACTTGTTTATAACAGACCCTGTTGGTGTAGTGGTTAAGGCATTTGGCTGCTAACCAAAAGGTTAGCTGCTCCACGAAAGAAAAATAGGGCACTCTGTTTCTGTAAAGCTTTACAGCCTTAGAAACTATGAATCGAAATCAACTCGATGGCAGTGAGTTTGGTTTTATGGAATGCTTGTGAATGTCTGCAGATGATTATGGATTGTGGAAAAACATAAAGTAATATTGGATATCCAGAGTTTTAATAAAGTACACCTAATTTGGGCTCAAGTATAGCAAAGATTGAGAATGGCACAAGACTGGACATTGTTTTGTTTTGTTGTACATAGGGTAACCATGAGTCAGAGCCAACTTAACAGCACCTAACAGTAACAGCGACAACAATTTGTGTCTGCTAGGGAACCCAGAAATCTTTGGACAGAATTAATGTTATTTCTGACAATTATCATTATACAAATTTATAAGTCTTCCAAATTTTAAAATGTTACCATTAGCTTTCTCGTTTGGAAATAAAAATAATGCTACTTTTCTCCCACAAATGATTATTGGTAAGTACATAATTTATTTGCAGCATATTAAAATGTAATTTCTGTTGTTATTCTTAACTGTAGAATACTTTGTGTAGAGTAGATTGCATCCTTTTGAAGTTTAGATTCTCTGATGAAAAAACTGATTAAATTAGTCTGTGAAGAAGTAGAAATGAAGGGACTGTTGCTTTGAATGCTTTTCCAGACAAACCAAACCAAGCCAGACTCACTACCACCGAGTTGATCCCAACTCATGGCAACCCCCTTTGGGTTTCCAAGGCAGTAAATCTTTATGGGAGCTCTGGTAGCATAGTGCCTAAGGCACTTGACTGCTTCCATAGTGATACTGCCTCAGAAACCCAAGGAGGGGTCGCTATGAGTCAGTCTGACTCGACGGCAAATAACAACAACAAATCTTTATGGAAATAGATTGCCCAGTCTTCCTTCTGTGGAGTGGCTGGTGTGTTTGAACTGCCAACCTTCTTGTTAGCAGTCAAATGCCTTAGGCAACTTCACTTGTCTTTACTATCCTGGGTTGTGTTCTGTTCCAGAATTGCTTATGTGCCAGCAGAACATTTGGAAGAGTTCAGAGTGAGCTTGGAACAACAATCTGGAGGAATAATGGCACTAGATATATTTTCTTCATACACTGGAAGGTGAGTAAAACGTGAGATCTGCTAATATGAATGAGTGATACGGCAAGTTATAAAGAAGAGTTTTGAATCCAGAGTCATGTAGGAACAGATCAAAGAAACAGACTGCATTCCTTTCCCTCTCATAAGCTGTTAAAAGATATTCATGCTTCTCTAATAACTTAAGTTGTAATAATCATATTGTGTAGAAATTTTGGAAATACATAAAAATACGAATCAAGAAATGAAAATCATCTTTAATTCTACCATTGAGCACTTTTAGCAGAATGAGTTTTGGTAAATCACCCTAGATATAAATATTATTTCATTTATTTCCTAGAATCTATCATTTACATCATAAAACATCATAAAAATGATAGATTCTAGGAAATAAATGAAATAATATTTATATCTAGGGTGATTTACCAAAACTCATTCTGCTAAAAGTGCTCAATGGTAGAATTAAAGATGATTTTCATTTCTTGATTCGTATTTTTATGTATTTCCAAAATTTCTACACAATATGATTATTACCCACCAGCCACTCCTCGGAAGGAAGGTTGGGCAATCCTACTTCCGTAGTGATACTGCCTCGGAAACCCAAGGAGGGGTAGCTATGAGTCAGGGCTGACTCGACGGCACATAACAACAACAACAAATCATTTATATAGGAGCTCTGGTAGCATAGTACCTAAGGTACTTGATTGCTAGCCAGAAGGCTGGCGGTTCAAACCCACAAGCCACTCCTCGGAAGGAAGGTTGGGCAATCTACTTCCGTAGTGATAACACCTCGGAAACCCAAGGAGGGGTCGCTATGAGTCAGGGCCGACTCGACGGCACATAACAACAACAACAACAACAATCATTTATATATTGATACCGCCTCGGAAATCCAAGGAAGGATGAGTCGGGTCCAACTCTACCGTATGTAACAACAATAACAATAGTTTCTTTTAGGACCTATGGTGGCATAGTGCCTAAGACATTTGATTGCTAACCAGAAGGCTGGCTGTTCAAACTGACCAGCCACTCCTTGAAAGGAAGACTGGGCAATCTACTTCTAGTAGAGATACCACCTCAGAAACCAACAAGGGGTCACTGTGAGTTGGAACCAACTTGATGGCAGTGATTTTGGTTTTCTTTTAATAGTTTCTTTCTTTTAATGAAGTGGATTTTTTTACCTTAGGAAAGATAAGAACTAGATTTTGATGATACCACTGTCCAAGTTCAGAGCAGGGAGAGAAATAATGTCAAATTGTTTTTCCATGAAGATTGTAATATTGTATACCCTCAACTATGGACCTGTTATTTTGTGGTGGTGTTTTTTATTTGTTTGCTTTTAGTTCCACTGGAAACTGAGTACCAAATTTCTCCTTATTATAGAGCAGAAATGGCCTTGCAGCGACTCTGAGATCATCTGGTAGAGGTTTTCCACTTCCTCAGAGAATATCAAAATGCTCCTAGGCATTCTAATGCCCAGTGACCCTGCTGGCATCTAAATATCACATCATTCTCCTCTCTGCAGTTTACAGGGAGTGTTAGGGAAGACAAACTTATGCTACAAGTTTAATAGAGAGAAGGGATATTATGGTCTTTGGAGCTTCTTGAATTTTTCTAAAAAAGGAGTATTCAAGAAACTCAGCCATACTCTGCCGTAGAATTTCTATCTCAAGGTCAATGGCAAATGTTGATTATTGCTTCCCAATGCTGCCTGTCAAAATGATAAAAAGTAATCATTCCCGTGTTCCTCTGAAATACTGTTTCCAGTGACTTAAGTTAAAGAATACTCCAAGATCATATTTTATTCTAATAAATTGTGAGGCCTTAAGAGCACTCAAAACTATTAGAGAAAAATAGCTACTCCCAGCACTGTGCTTGCTCCAGAACAGAAAGGGGATTAGCAGGGACTGTGCAGTATCGTAACTCACTGCTTCACTGGTACTCCAGAGAAAATATATTAGCTATTACTAAAAACACTGCTAACCAGAAGATTGGGGGTTCAAAGCCATCAGCTGCTCTGTGAGAGGAAGATGAGGAAATCTACCTCCATAAAGATTTACAACCTTGGAAACCAAATGTGGGTCGTTATGAGTTGGGATCGACTAGATGGCAGTGGGTTTGATTTTTGGGGGTTGTAAAGGTGCTTAAAACAAAAGCAAAGCAAACAGTGCAGTCTACATTTTACAGAGGAGGAATATGCAGCTGATAGAGGCTAAGTGACTTGCTAAACTGCAGCTAACAATCATTTGAGTCAAGATTAGAGTCTAAGCAGTTGTCTCAAATTCTATGTTGTTGATCACTGAACTTCTTCTGTGGACAGATATAAGATCCTGAATGTGGCTCCAATGAAAGAACTGCTTAAGTCCAGTATACAAAGTATGTGGCGACACAACCAACAAGTTAAGAGCCCAGCCTTTCTAGTAAGATAACCTCATTCAAATGACACCTCTGTTGCTTTCTTGTATACCTATGCCAGCTACTTCACCAGGAACCTAAATGCAAATGTAAAAGGAACTAGTTTTTATAGCTGACACAAAGCTCATTGGTATTCAACAGTAGGATACAGGAGCATGTTGTTGTTGTTACATGTCAGCTCTGACTCAGCAGCCCTGTGTACAACAGAACAAAACACTGCCCAGTCCTGTGCCAGCCTCACAATCGTTGCTACATAGAAGTCTAATTTAGTCTTGACTGGGTGAGGATGTGAGGAAGAGAACAGGTCCATTCTGCTCTGTGGTGGCCACATTGCACTTGAGTTGGAACCAACTTGACAGTGCCTGACAACATTTCCAAATTCTTGCTCTTTTCTGTCTTCCAAACCTACTTACCATCACATTCTCTCCAGTTATCTTTCCAGAGAATATAGCCCAGTTTTCACCTCAATGCTGGCTTCCTGTTCACTGGGGCTTCCATTGGACCCTCAGTCAGCTCCTTGTCATTATTTTTAGGATACCCCTCTTGGATCCATTCCCCGAAGTTCTGCCTCACTGCCAGACTTAGCCACTGCTCTTGGAACTCCATCCTCTTTCAGAGCCTTTTTCCTCAATTTTCACAGGGGAAAATTCAAACACACAGAAGAATTAGAACCACTGGGTTAGAAGAATTAGAACCACTGGGTTCTAATCTGTCCACTTTAGGCAGACAGATTTTATTCTAACAGTATTGGGGGGCAAAAATGTCTAGCACTGAGTTCAAAGAAGGAATAAGACTTTAAAAGAGAGCCTGGTCAATCCCTTGCCAACATGATGGGAAGCACATTCAAGCACAGGTGCGTTGCTGGGTTAGATGACTTCCAATTTCAAATAAAATTTGAGAGTGGTCAGTGTTCCTGTCATGGGAGAATGGATATAATTTGAACATGTGATCTTTAAGGTTTTTAAATTTCCATAAAAATTAACTGAGAACATTTATCAATCAAAACTTTCATAGCCTTTTCTGTATTAAAAGAAATATGTGGACATTTTTTAAAATTCCTAAAACAAAAATCAAAAAAATGTTATGCTCAATATACATGAAAGAATTCTTATGCATAATTCTATCACTAAGTGATAGTCATTTTTAATACCTGTTTTGGTTACTTAATGCCACTCTAACAGAAGATACCAAAAATGGGATGGCTTTAACAAACAGGAGTTTATTCTCTTACAGTTTGGAGGCTTTAAGTCCGAGTTCAAAGTGCCAGCCTCTAGGGTCTGGGTGAAAACTCCTCAACCACGGGCTTCAGCTCTGCCTTCTGCTCCCAGCCCACTGAAGCTAGAGGCTTTTCTTCACTGAGCTGCTGGCTGCTTAAGGCTGACAAGCCCAAGGTTGACAAGTAAAAGGCACAGTCCCAATGTTCCCAAACCACATAGCAGGCCATTAATTCAAGTCCATTGAAAGTCCCAAGGTTGGCAGAGCATGGCAGGCTGCTGAACAATGACATGGCTACATTCAGGGTTCATGTGTGGCATAAGCTAGAGACCATTCACAAAGCTGTTAACTTATATGCGGGAAGCAGACCACATCCCTAAGGCAGCTACTCAGCTGCTTGTGGTAGCTTCCACTGTGGAGCTGATTGTCAGTCTCATCATGGGGAATAACTACCACCAGCTGCCCAGCCACTCAACCAGGTCCAGCCATGTAGACGACATACAACATTAACTACCACAATACTTTATTGGTTTTTCATTTCAATATAATATTTATAAAAAATAAGGTAATGATTTATGTACCATTTTAAGTCTGGCCTTTTAAGCAAAAATTATATATATCCTTAGAAATATTATTTTTACTGACAGCATAAGAACATACCATTTTTGTTGTTTGTCGTTATGTGCCATTGAGTCAGACCCAACTCATAGTGACCCCTCCTTGGGTGTCTGAGGTGATATCACTACGGAAGTAGATTGCCCAACCTTCCTTCCAAGAAGTGGCTGTTGGCTACATATCATAACTGATTTAATTATTTTCCATTGCCCGTGCAGTGTCTTTTACTAAAACAAAATATTGTTCCTCAAGGTGGAATTGATTCCAACTTATGTACTTTTGGAAAAACAAAACATGTGTAGATATTGTTATTATTTTGCAGTTTCATTTACTTTTAGTCAATAGACTGGACCTGTTTTGTTATATGCTTGGCATCTAGAAAAACCTTAATTGCTACAGAAGTTGAAAGGTGACCTTGAATACAAGTGTATTTTAACCTGATTCTTTGTAAGAAACATTCTGTGTCTGGCTCTTCTGGATGGGCTACAGCTGGACCATAAGCATTTTTCATCTTTCTTCAAAAGTTGAAGGAAAAACCTTTGCCCACCCTTAAGAAACAGCAATGCTTGAACTTCTGACATACTTGGTTATTCAAAACTGGGCAATCTATTTCCATAAAGATTTACTGCCTAGGAAACCCTAAGTGGGTCGCTATGAGTTGGAGTCCACTCGATGGCAGTGAATTTGGTTTTGGTATTTTATAGGGGAGGGATCAGGTCTGCGCATACTTAAAACTTACATGTTGTCCCTAGCCTCTTACACATGATAGGCCTTTAAGAAATGCTTGTTGAGGAAGACTTCTGGTAAGATAGAGGAATAGGCAGAGAAGCTACACAGACCCTCCTCAACAGAGAAAAGACACCAATTGAAAGAGATACAGAAGATAATCCTGAAGCCCTGAGAGTTGAAAGGAATTATACGGAACTGGATTAGGTACCAACTAGTGGAAAAAAACTGAACAAAAACAGTGAGTACAGAGAAGGTCAGAGCAGTGGACTGTTGGCTACTCTGAGGGGACCAATAGCCTGAATATTTTCAAGTGGTGTTGGGACCTAAGAGTTGACCTAAAAATCAGCTCTGGCCACCAAGGGCTGCAGGGACAACTGCGCTGGTGGCCTGTGAGTAGGAGGGGAAGCAGCAAGGAGGGAGACAACCTGAGCTGTGGACTTTCCACTGTCAGGAGGCTGCAGCCATTTTGATTGTTTACAAGCAGTGGCCATTTTAGATATTTAAAGTGACTGAGGGTGCAGCCACTTTGAATGTTTACAAGCGGTGGCCATTTTGGATATTAAAAGTGACTGAGGTGCAGCCATTTTGAATGCTTACGGGCGGTGGCCATTTTGGATGTTTAAAGTGACCAAGGGTGCAGCCATTTTGAATCTTTACAAGTGGTGGCCATTTTGGATTTTAAAGTGATAGCATTCTCATTTGGATTCCAGGGAGGTCCCTCGAGTAGGCTGTGTTTGCTAAGGACAACAGGTATATACGGGAGGCTGACAACAGGAAATGAAACAGGTAGTGAGTGTATAAGTGCTGTCAACTAGCAGAGAAGCACAGCACAGTACCCTGCTTACATAGATAACATAAAAACAAAACAAAGAAAACGATAATCATGGGCAAGTCACTCCAACATACAATCACCAATTAAATGTAAACACAAAAACATCACAATGCCTTGGAACAACAGAGCATCACAGTGCATACAAAGAAGAAAGATAAAGCAGGAGAAACAAGGGACTGGGATACAGACCCAAAACACATCCCTGAGGAAGACGCAGCAATGGAACTCCCTGATAAGGAATTCAGAAGAAATATATTTAGGTCTCTTCAACAAACTGAGAGACAGATCAAGGAAAACACTGACAAAATTGAGGAAAACACAATGAAAATCCTAGAACAATGTCGAAAGTGAATACAAGAACAAAATGACAAAATAAATGAAAAATTAGAAATGATACAAACTCTACACACAGAAGATTAATACTAAATTTCAGAAATAGATAAGACATTGAACAGCCAAAGGAGTAGAATTGAATCAATGGAAGACAGAATTAGTGAGATTGAAGGCAAATACCTCAATACTTCTTTGGAAAATGATCAATCAGAATAAAGATCAAAACAAAATGAAGAAAGCCTAAGATTCATGTGGGATACCATCCAAAGAAGTAACCTACATGTAATCAGAATTCCAGAACAGGAAGAGACAAATAAAACCACAGAAAACAATGTTGAAGATTTTTTTGGAAGAGAATTTTCCTGGTGTGATGAAAGATAAGAATATATCCATTCAAGAAGTAGACCCCAAAAGAAAATCACCAAGACATATCATCATCAAACTCACCAAACCAAAGACAAGGAATCTTGAAAGCAGCATGGGAAAAACTAAAAGTTACCTACGAGGGACAACCAATAAGACTAAGCTTGGATTTTTCAACAGAAACCATGCAGGCAAGTAGACAATGGGATCGTATATATAAAACCCTGAAAGAGAAAAATTTCCAACTAAAAATCATGTAACCAGCAAAATTGTCCCTCAAATATGATGGTAAAATTAGGAGATTTCCAGATAAGCAGAAATTAAGGGAATTCGTTAATCCAGACCAACCTTACAAGAGATGCTAAAGGGACTCCTTTGGACAGAGAAGCAACAACAGAAAACAACAACTGACCATGAACACACGTGGTGACATAACCCAGAAACCAACTCAATTATGGAAGTATCCAAAGTAAATAAGCCTACAAGATTGTAAACAGGGAACCAGAGACTTCAATTGACAAATGAGGACAACTAACAAACCAAAAAGAGGGAAAAAAATGTGTTGTTACAGAACTTCTAGATGGTAGGGAAGTCAAGACAACTACAAGATAAGACAGACTGTTCTAAACTTGGGAAGAAAACTATAAATCACAGGGTAACCTCAAAAAAAAATTATAAATTCACATCAAAATAGAAAAGAGGACCAGCACAGATATTTAGCAAATACTAAAACAATAGCAACGAAGGAACTGAAAACATGATTCAAAACCAAAATGCACTCAGCACAGAAAATTATATGGAACAAATAAATCAACACCACAAAAAAGCACATAACAAAAATGACAGCAACAAATTCGTACTTGTTGATAATTACATATCTGGTAATGGACTTATATCTAAGATTTATAGAAAATTCTTAATGCATCAACAGCAAAGGAATTAACAATCCAATTGAAAATGGGCAGAAGGCATGAGTAGACCTTCACCAAGGAGGATATTCAGGTGGCCAGCAAATACATAAAAGATGCTCATGATCACTGGTCATCAAAGAGATGCAAATCAAAACAACAATGAGATACCCTCTTACCTCAGCACTGATAGCAAGGTTCATTGAGACAGAAAATAACAAATGCTGGTAGGGATGTGGAGAGATTGGAACTTTCATACACTGCTGGTGGGACTGTGAAGTGATAGAGCCACTGTGGAAAGCAGTATGGCAATTCCTTAGAAAGCTGGAGTTGGAGATACCATTTGACCCAGCAATCCCATTACTAGGTATATATCCTAGAGAGGTGAGAACCAGGACAGGAGCTAATATATGCACACTCATGTTCATCACAGCACTATTTACGACAGCAAAAAACAACCTATATGCCCATCAGTGGAAGAGATGATGAACAAACTATGGTACATGCATCCAATGGAATGCTTTGCAGCACTAAAGAATAATGTAGAGTCTGCAAAACACCACATAACATGGATGAACTTGGAGGATATTATGCTGAGTGAAATAAGTTAATCACAGAAGGACAAAGACAGTATAGTTCGTTGTTGTGGAGGGTCAAGGAAAGGTTTGTATATGAATGGAAACTTTCTTTGTTGGTTGCCAGCAGTGGGAGGGGAGGGGAAAGAACACTGAAAAAAAAAAATGAAAAAATGCCTTGACCCATGTCACTTTAGTTTTATGTGTTTCACTGTATGTGAATTATATTTCAATAAAATGCATTTTTCAAAAAATGTTTGTTGAATCGTTTTTCTTTACAACTCTGCTATTCCAGCCCCTCCCCCCCAACACACACCATCTTCTTTCTTAATTTCCCTATGTTTCATCAGGAGAAAAACAGACTAATCAAGAATCTTTAATGTTCAGCTATATATCCAGATTAAGTTATGGTAAGTTGATTCTAATATAAGGTATTTGCTTGGTGTCAGTAGGTTATCTTTTTTCCACTGTAAAAGTAAAGGCTCATTCACTAAATGCTATAAATAAGCAGTGCTGCAGTTTACATTAAACAAAGAGTATATAACCACTCATGCATGGTTTTATTAAGATTTTGGAGTACTCACTGTGTAACTCTTTAACAGAGACATCCCAGAACTACCAGAGCGAGAAGAAGGAGAGGGAGAGGAAAGTGAACTTCAAAACGTAGCATACAGCAATTGGAATCAGCCCCGGAGGTATGGATGATTTCTGCCTTCTGCCCACTCAGTGGATATATAGTCATGGAGGGAAGAGGCTGTAGTTTCAAGGACTGCATCACTGCTTGATACTTGTGTCAATGGGAAGGTTGTTTTAATACTCCTAAGCCTCCACTTCATTGTACAGTGGGATAAAGCCAGCATGTATGCAAGGATCGGGGACATAGTAAAGACTGAATAGAATTAACCAGTGAAAGTTATACATGGATAGTTGGAAAGGGTAATATTATCTCTAGAGTTTGATCTTAGATATACCACCAAGCACTAATTTAAATTTTATATAGCATTTTTGAAAAGTAAGTATTCAAACATACATTAGAAGTTAAGCAGCCTTATTATCCTAGGCTTGGTCTATACTAGCCATACTCCATCTAGCACCCATTTCATATATATTAGAAAAGATAACCTTCCTAAATAGATTCAGATATCTCACTATACATCACAATGTATTCATGCTAAGTAAAATAAAAATCAACTTACTATTGAGTAAGTAATTATTGAATAATTGAGTCCCAATTATGGACTCAGATTTGAAGCCAAAGATTTTGTGAATACAAGGGAAGTATAAGTTATGAATCCTGCCTTCAAGGAAGTTATAAGGATAGTTGAGATATATGTTGTTGTTGTTATGTGCCATCGAGTCAGCCCCGACTCATAGCGACCCCATCTTGGGTTTCCAAGGCAGTATCACTATGGAAGTAGATTACCCCATCTTCCTTCTGAGGAGTGGCTGGTGGGTATATAGTCACATAGAATAACTAAAAAGCAGTACAAACATTTTAAATTGAGTGTATAATGGAAATAATCACTGGATACCCTTTCCAAAGAGATTTAAAGGTGACGGCCATCACAGTGATATCTTCAGTAGATCCTGAATGTTTGTTCTACAGTAAATAAATAAAATGCTCAAGAGAAGAATTTCTAGCATTCAGAAACATAATGCATTTGAAGATTTTCCCTGCTTACAAATGAACTTAAGCTGAAGCCATCACTTGTAAACTTTATCTCAAATCAGAAAACCAAACTCACTGCCATTGAGTCAATTTCGACTCATAGCGACCCCTATCGGGTTTCTGAGGCAGTAAATTTTATAGAAGTAGATTGGCCCATCTTCCTTCCATGGAGCAGTTGGTGGGTTGGAACCACCAACCTTCTAGTTAACAGTTGTTTTGGTTCTCTAGTGCTACTCTGACAGAAAATACCACAAGTGTATGACTTGAACAGACAGGGATTCACTCTCTTATAGTTTTGGAGATTAGAAGTCTGAGTTCAGGGTGCCAGTTCTAGGGTCTGGGTGAAGGCTCCTTGACCTTGGGCTTCAGCTCTTCTTCTTGTTCCTGGCCCACGGATCTGTAGGTGTCTCTTCACTTAGGCAGTTGCTGGCTGCTGAGGCTGACAAACCCAAGGTATACAAGTAAAATGGCACAATCCAAAAATTATCAAGCAACATGGCAGGCCATTAACCCAAGTCCAGAAACAGTCCCAAGATCAGCAGACAACATGGCAGGCCCCTCACTGAAGACTGGCCAAATGCAGGATCCAAATGTGCCAAGAAGCTCAGAGACCGTTCTCAAAGCTTTCTATTATATACTGGAAGAAGACCACGTTCCTAAGGCAGATACTCAGCTGCTCTAGTAGACTCCTCCATGGAGTTGATTACCTTTCTCATGGTGGAGAATAACTACATCCAGCTGCCCAGTCACTCAAAACCAGGCCCAGCCGAGCTAATATATATACAATATATATCATAAATATATATACAGAATCTTAGCAATCCAGCAGTCAAATGCCTTAGGCACCAGAGCTCCTTAAACTTTATCTAGGTGAGTCATATTCATGATATAGAACACATCATTTTATGTTACTTTCAAAGAAACAGCATTTTTAGCCATCTGAAATGAGGTTTTTTATTTGACTTATTCAAAAGAAGTTTAGCCTACTTAAACAATTCAAGGTCTTTTTATAGCACTGCCCACATGGAGGGCAGATCTGAGTCCTAGGTGTGTGGCATGTTGGAATTCCAGCTTTGCCACTTTTAAAGGTAAGTTTCTTAATCTCTCCTAGGTCTTAGTTACTTCATCAATAAAGTGTATTTAATAATAGAGCCTTTCAAATTTTTCAGAGAATTCAATATGTTGGTGCATAGCATAGTACTTGGTATAGAGACAGCATTCAGGCAAGGTGGGCATTTTCAATAATAATGTTGATCAGTATTAACTAAGCAAAAGAGAAAGCATTGGTTAGAGGAGTCATTATGACATTAATTAGGAGAAAGAATTCAGCATAACTTCTTATTTGCAAGATTAAGAAGTGTCTCTAAAGATAGTAACTATCTGCAGTGTAGTAAATTACCCAGTATGGCTTTTCTAGCCATAAGTCTTTGTAAACTCCATGGTGGAATTTGCCGTGAGCAACTGAGGAGCTCCTGATTGTTAAAGTTATCAACCTGGGGTATTTCTGTTGAGAGTGGCACAAAGCAATGTTCTGGGAAGTTTGTTCTCTTTCAGGTGCTTAGAATTCTGATGTTAGGATTGGTTAGTTTGGCCACTCTGCCAAGCTCAAAAAGAGGCCTCCTAGAGGCAGAAGGAGTCTCTCTGACTGCTGCTGAGAGAAATGCGCTCCTGAGAGACATGTCCTTGCTGAGAGATGCGAGAGACATGCACTGCTGAGAAAGAGACGCGAGAAGCATGCATTGCCAAGAGAAACACTGAGAGACATACATTGCTGACAGACTAAGAGAGATTGTTGTCTGAGAGACAGCAGGCTGAGAGAGACTGAGCGTGTTCCTAAACTTGAATTGTAGCCTGTTGCTTCCCTAATAAACCCCATAATCTGTGAATTCTTTGTAGCCACTGCAGCGAATTATTGAACCGAGCAGAGAGGTGGTAGGTGCTGCGGGAAGAACAGTTGGTGTTAGGGTTGATGAAAGGGCTGGAGGGAGGCAGCATGTCTGCCTCACAGCAATAGGCCTTGGGCTATTGATGGTGATTCTGTCTTCCTCCTGTGGGGTTAGAGAAGGTTAGAAGATGCAGCCTCCCTGTCCCTTTGGCACTACCTTACCTAGAGAATTCCAATTGAGGTTTCCATTATTGCTTCTAAGAAGGTATGCCTGCACTGATTAATGTATACAGAAGCACTCATAGCAAATGATGAGGACCTTACCAAAACAACTAAAATTTCTAATAAACAGTGAGTTTGTGAACATGCTTCTTAGCATTGGAAATGTGATGGGACGCTCATCATGAAGTCAATAAAATTCTATCAATTACTGCCTTCGTGTGGAAATAGATATATTTTAGCAAAGTGTAAATTTTAAGAATGTAAATAGGCTATATTTTATTTTACATGTGATTTTCATTTACATAATTGGTGTCATACTATATGTATCAGTTTCTAGTTTGCTTATTTCACTCCTTTGCTTTGGAGATCCATCATGTTGATATCCAAAGATTTCATTCATTCTAATGCGTTGAATTTTAATGTATGAATATACTCTAGTTTATTTATTCTCAGATTGATATTTCAATATAAGAATATACTCTATTTATTCTTAGATTGATATTTGGATAGCTAACTGCTACTCAGTTATAATAATGATGTGAAGTAAATATACCTATTATGTGTGTGAATTTATTTGGGATATTTATCTAAAAGGATTGCTGTTGTTGCTGTGTGCCGTCAAGTCAGACCCAACTCATAGTGACCCCTCCTTGGGTTTCCGAGGCATTATCACTGTGGAAGTAGATCGCCCAACCTTCCTTCCGAGGAGTGGCTGGTGGGTTTGAACTGCCAGCCTTCTGGTTAGCAGTCAAGTGCCTTAGGCACTATGCTACCAGAGCTCCTTCTAAAAGGATATATATACCTAAAATTTATTTAGGATATATGTTTAAAAAGAAGAATTGCTGTCCCATAGGTTTAGATGCATGTTTTTAGTTTATTAGAAGTTGTCAAATTGCTTTCTGAGATGATTGTACCAATTTTTCTTCCATTTACAATATATCAGACTTTCCTTTTACCCACATCCGTGTTAACATATTATTTGATCTTTTTTCAGTTAATTTTTGTCAAGTTGATAGGTGGAAAATGGTCTTAATAAGCAATATTTAGGTCTATTAGGGTTGGGGGTGTGGGACCCATATTGCTGATTTGTCATACAAATTGAATTGTATATCCTGCTCCTATTATTTGGTAACTATAGTAATAGTAGGAGCTCTGGTAGCATAGTGCCTAAGGCACTTGACTGCTAACCAGAAGGCTGGCGGTTCAAACCCGCCAGCCGTCTGGTTAGCAGGCAAGTGTCTTAGCCACTATGCTACCAGAGCTCCGTAGTGATAGTGCCTCGAAAACCCAAGGAGGGGTCGCTATGAGTCGGGTCCAACGCGATGGCACATAGCAACAACATACTAATAGTAATAAAAGCATTTTAAATTGCTTTTAAAGTATGTACAAAAGCTTTATTTTGCCATTAAAAACTCAACCAAACTCACTGCTGTCGAGTCGGATCTGACTCATAACAACTCCACCTTGGGTTTCCAAAGCAGTATCACTAAGGAAGTAGGTTGCCCAACCTTCCTTCCGAGGAGTGGGTGGTGAGTTTGAACTGCCAGCCTTCTGGTTAGCAGTCAAATGCCTTAGGCACTACGCTACCCAGGGACTCCTTTCTTTTGCCATTAACAGATATTAATTAATTTAATTGCCACAGCAACTCTGATGTAGGGCTGTTACTGTCTGCATTTGACAGCTGAGGAACATAAGACAAGCAGAAACTAAATAAGTTGCTCAGGTCACATGATGATTAAGTAGCAAAAAGGCAGGAGCTCTGGTGTCAGAGCTGTTTGACCTTCGCCTTTCTGAATTTCATTCTTTTTGATCTGTGTTTGAGGTCACAAGAGAGGTTGCCATTTTGCCATATAATTAACTTTCAAGTGATCATGTTCTATAAGGCTTTTCTTTTATAGGTCTCCTTTTTCCTTCCCAGG